ATGATATGACTGAATGTAATTCGGTTCTTTCACAGCAGAGGAAGAGGCGGCAGGTACTGTTATTCAACTGTTGTCACTTGCTAGATTTTTAGTAGTATACCTTCCATGATAGTTTTTATTGAGAAAAGATGCTGGTGAAGGTCAGCCATTCTTACAGCATTTGTTTGATAAGTTATGCTAGTTATATCTTTAATTTGTATATGGGTTTTGTGCTCAGATATCCCCAACGTTGGCTCCTGTTGATGCTTTGGAGAGGTATACTCAGATATCTAGTCATCCCCTTCATAAAACAAGCAAACCAGGAATTTTATCGATTGATATTCATTCTAACAAGGTATGCATGCGTTTGTTCTTACCTTATTATTATTTGGTTTTGTTCAAGCATCACTTCTGTATGGGTATGGCCGCTGCGTGCCTTTGCTATTCAGTACTAGCTGTCAAATGCATTTGTGGTGTCGTAATGTCTCTAGTGATCTTTAGGTCTGCTATAGCCCCGTAGAACTTATCAATAAAATCAAATGTGGTGAAATGAAGAAAATGAGTTTAGAAGGAACAATTTAGAATTCAATGAATCCGGAAGCTCTTATGTTTTAGGGTTCATTTGCATGGTTCAATTTCGCCATATGGATAACATGTGCTGCTATTAGATGAGATTTTGGATCTTTTGCATGTTTTTTCTACTTTCATCTACTCTCTGCTCCAAAAAATTTCCAGCTTTTTCTCTTAAAGGTAGACACTCATCAAGGAAAAAGTTATTCCATCCTTCTGTGCCCACCTGTGTGTTTTATGTCTTTCTGATGTCCTGTGCCAAAATGTCGAAAACAATACCCTAGAAGGATAAAAAAAGTTCTGTTCGGTACACATAGCAAATTTAGCTTTATGCAATTATTGCTAATTATGTCCGCCTCAGTTATGTTTCCATCTTGCTGATCAAATTTTTTTTTTTTCCTTGCAGAACATAATTGCAACTGGAGGGGTTGATGCAAATGCAGTAATCTTTGATCAACCATCAGGACAAATCATATCCACTCTTAGTGGTCATTCAAAGAAGGTATCATCTATTAACCCTATCAAACATTTGCTTAATATCTTTTCATTAATGCATATTGAATGGTTATGCATCTTTTCCTTGGTAGGTTAACAGTGTCAAAATTGTACCTCGGGACGATCTGTTAATAACTGGGTCAGCAGACAAGGTATGCCACATTTAATTTTTTTCTTCTCGTTCACGGACAATTTCAACCCTTTATTGATTTGTTCATTGCTTTGTTTCTATTTCATCTTCACTATTTTCTGGACTTCTGTTGTTAGCTTTGCATGTTATTCAGCACCAATGTGTAACCCTGGCCACTGATGAACTTTGAATACCTCAAATTGCAAGTTTTGAGTTGGGATTTTTGAAGTTTTACTACGTGGACCTACACAAATTCAAATTGAGATGCTAGATTTCTTTATATTGCTTTACGTGTTGTAACTGGGTAACCTCCCCTGACCTGAACACAAAGGGAACAATAGAAAAGAAAAATAAAAAATTGGCTTAAACACAGAACTGTGCATGCATGCAATTTAGAGGTTATTGCATAGGTTTTACTTGGGTAACTTATCAGATATTGAATCTAGCGAAGTCTATATTGTGATGTTTTGATATCATTTTTTTCCATCAATGTTGCAGACAGTTCGCATATGGCAAGGGTCTGATGATGGGAACTATAACTGTAACCACATTTTGAAGGACCATACTGCAGAGGTAAATAGTTTTGATTCAATCTTTTCCGCAACAAGTTCACCAAAAAAATGCTCCAAGTCCCTTTAAGTGGAAAAATGAGCAGCAAATCAGGAAAAAAAAAAAAAAGAGTGAACTTACTGTGCTCCAATAACCATTTCTACCTTTTGTCTTTCTGTGTCTAAGTCATGATGTTTCCGTATTTCCTGGTTCAGGAATTTTTGGTTTATGTTATAAGATGTTTGTTAACTCTAATGAATAATGTCTGATAAAATGAACTGCTATCTGGCAATTTTCTTTTTATTTGATATTTTTTGGGGGGCACTGACCAGCAACTGAGTTTTATTATGTATTGCATTTTATATACTGGTTATGTGCTACGTATATTACTTTATTTAACATCTCAAAAAAATTTCAGGTGCAAGCTGTTACTGTACATGCCACGAATAACTACTTTGTGACTGCTTCTCTTGATAGTACATGGTGCTTTTACGATCTTTCCTCGGGGTTATGTCTAACACAGGTTATAATCCTTCCCTCTGTGTGTGTGTGTGTGTCTGCTTCTATACTAATCAAGTTTGCTAAAATAATGAAAAAAGAGAACGGAAACTTTTTCATTTGAAACAGAGTTCATAATTTTTTTTTTCTCCACTAATGTTCCCCTGTGATATCATTATCTGTACCTTAATTTGTCTTGTCCTTGATGATGCAATGAAAATTTCTTTGACTCTTTAGGTTGAAGACCCTTCCGCATCTGAGGGCTATACATCTTTGGCGTTTCATCCTGATGGTCTTATCCTTGGAACAGGCACCACAGGGGGTCTTGTGAAAATTTGGGATGTTAAAAGCCAGGTGTGCAGGCATTGCTTTTTCTTTTGCTTTCAACCTTTGTTTTTCAGTTCTGATTTTACTTTCATTACTTCTGCTGATTGACAGACAAATGTTGCCAAGTTTGAGGGACATGTTGGTGCAGTAACTTCCATCTCCTTCTCAGAGAATGGTTACTTTCTTGCGGTAGGTGCTCCACTTAGAAAAAAAAATGTAGATAGAGAATTATGTGATATCATGTTCATATATTTTACATTTGAATTGGACAGACTGCAGCCAGTGATGGCATTAAGTTGTGGGATCTACGCAAATTGAAAAACTTCAGGACATTCACTCCATATGGTCCTGACACACCAACAAACTGTGGTATGTGTATCTACAAGCCTTCTCATAGTTTCTTTCCCGGGAAAAATGAGAAGTATTTCATTGCAATGCTTTCACTTTGCAAAATTCTGTTGAATCACTTGAAAGCAACTCAACTTGTTGGGGGTTCTTGGTTGACATGGTGAATTTTTGGTTGACATTTACATGTATATATATCTAATTCTTCTTGCTAGATAAGAAAATTTCCTGAGGTCATGTATCTATATGCTTTCCCTTTTCGTTATAGTCTTCTTATTGCCAAGATTTCTTATTTTAGACTTTTAATATCATACAAGTCTTCCCAAAAATGGAGTATAATGAAGGCTATGTTTGTGATCCATGCAGTTGAATTCGACTACAGTGGAAGTTACCTTGCTGCTGCTGGCTCCGATATAAGGTCAGTGTTTGAAAAACATACATTTTTGGATTGAACACCTGAAGTTTTTTTAAAATGCCTTCTGATTTGTGTTAATAATATCAAGAAGCTTAATGCATGATGGGGGTAGTTTAAAAATTGTATCTTCTACTGACAAAAATAGCATCCCATAATTGTATATGGATATGCGATGAACTGTGACCTTCTAAGTACAATTATGGCACATCTGAGGACAGAAGATTACAGTTGATGGCATATCCAAGGAACTACCCATTCTGTTCCTCCTCCCTGATTTCTCTTTTGAAGAAGATTATGAAATGAAATGATTGGCTTAGATTTACTAGACATTAGTGTAGTGGCCTGAAGAAAACTGGAATTTGGTATAATAGTAGTTAATTACATAAGTTGTCTGAAAGTTGCCATATTTCTCTATGAGTGAATGTGAGAAAGCTGACATTGCATATTACGTCAGTCGTACTGAAGCTGGATATTCTTTGAAATGCATAACATTTTAGCAATAAATTTTGAATTTAAAGTATAGTTTCTTCTCAATTTGTAAATTCTCATCTCCGAATGCCAAATATTCTGCCACCGTCTTGCTTTCCAGAAACTTTTGAACACTGATTTTGGTCTTTTGCTTTTGCAGAGTCATCCAAGCTACTAGCGTCAAATTAGATTGGAACACTATAAAGACTTTTCCTGATATGTCTGGCACAGGTTATTTCTCTTCCACTCACCTGTCAATTGTTGGTTGTGGGCCTTTGTGGCCTTTTACTTTGAATTAGTCCCTCATGTTCTTTACATTCTTGTCTTGTTTTAGGTAAAGCAACAAGTGTCAAATTTGGTCCAGATGCAAAATATATTGCAGTAGGATCGATGGACCGTAACCTTCGCATTTTTGGCCTGCCTGGCGATGATAGTGCAATGGAGCCCTGAAGTCTATCAAAGTTACCTCATCTGCGGTTGCTGTTACCTTTACTGCTGGTTAATTTGGATTCATCTTGTTGGCCATTGAGCAGGGTTCTGAAGCAATTGTGCCTTGTAGAACATTTATGTAGTTTTGTATTTCCATGTGCAGTGTTAGCTGAGCAATAGACGTTATTCAGGGAAAAAAAAAAGGAAAGAAAAAAACGGAGATAGAAATAGTTGGATGCTCGAGATTTCGATTTTCTTGGCATATTGAGTACTGAGGTTGTACTATTATTTTTTCATGTTCTTAATTCCCCCCAAATACCATCATCACATTATGGTTGATCATGACTCGAACAAATTAACCAAAATTGGTTATTAATGTTCCGTTGTTTTTGTTAGGTATTTTTTGGTTATTAGCACATATCAAACAATTCTTAACCCGGATGTACATTTTCAACCATTCGAAAATTTTTAAGAAAAAAATTAGTTCTCCAAATTTCCCAACCATTTAGGCACGATAAATTGTGCAGCACTAAAAGAGAAGAATACCTACTCAAAAGGATATTCCCAAAATCGAATGGAAAATACTTTCCCTCCTGTCAGTGACAATATGACGTGTATATAAGTTTATTTTGTGTGTGTTTTTGATAAATTATTATTGCACATGTCAAACTGTGCAAGGAGGAGCATCTCCTTCCAGGGAAGAGACAAGTAGTATCCACTACAAATATGCATGATAGAACCGCATAATTCATGGAAAATTAGATTTTCTATTTTCTTCTGCAAAGGATGTGCAAATATGCATACAATACAACTACATAACTTATGAGCATAAAAAAACTACAAAGTTAAGGAAAATTAGATTTTTAAGACAGTACTTGTTGCATAGCAAAATAATCCCACGAGCTACAGCTTCAAATCTAATAGCTTTCCAAAAGTATTGTTCATCCCATGTTAATCAAAGCCCTCCTATGCTGAATGATGGAGCAAACTAGAAGTAGAAGAAAAAAGAATGTAATCACCAACATGATACGCAGATACAAATGTATATCATCGTCTTGGGCTTGTATCAAGTAAGGTACCGCGACGCATGTGTAAAACCCCAAAGCTGCATATAGAAAGGAATGCGTAAGTATGTGAGTATCAACATTTGTTATATTTGTTTGTTTAAGCACTCACGTGTTACATTTGAATGGAGATTGAGCACGCGTACATACAAAGGCAAAGAGGTTACTCAAAAACATTACCTCAACATTCTTCAACTCAAACTCTGAGTTATGAGCCAAGCATAAGTTCCCAAATGTTTCACATGGTCCGCTTGTTCCACTTAACCTTTTTCAAGCAACAGTTTACAATTGTAACAAACGGATCTGTAAGTATTTCTCCATCTGACTACAGGATACAGGAGGGAATTCAAAGGAAGGCATTGGAAAAGAAAAACTTACAGATCTCCATCCAAGCATAAAGCATAGTTACCACCACCCCCAAGAGCTAGCATGTCATTCAAACACATGTAGTAATACCTGTTGGCTCCTATGTACACAAATTAGACACGGCATCAGCATTGCCTTTTTCTTTCTAAATGAAAAAAGTAAAAAAAAAGAAAAGAAAGGAAAAGCCTGCCTATGGCTCTTCATTCATCATAAAGTCCAAATATTTAGTTACATATTGCTTTACATTTCATCTTCTATCATGAAGCATTTTTGAAACAAGAACCAGCCAATCCATACGAAGGAAAAATTGACATGTTAATGCGGCGGAGTAACTTGTAACCTTCCGTCAGAGACTGAGGTATCATTTACATCTCTATCTTTAGCTCCACAACCTAATATCATACATATTATGCAAACCCATAATTTGAATGCCAAATCCTCCAAAAGGAAACATGCCTCGCAAAGACATAGGACAAAATGCTTACCAGTTGGTCTAAATAGCCTTGGTTCACCATATATGGTCGTAAAGACAAATGTCTGGTTTGTTCCCTATAGCCAAAAGGAAAGCATAAGAAGGTGCTTATATTGGAAAGAAAAAGAAAGAGAAATTTCAGACGTCTAAGTATATAGTTAAGAAAATAATTTTCAAATATTAGTATTCATCCTATAAAAAGAAAGTGACATATATTCATTAAGGTAAGAGCATCTTTACTTGATATTTTCTTTTTGCCGTAGGTTTCAAGGGCCCCTCTAGAAGTCCACCAAACACAGCACCTTGCCTATCTCCAACAATCTAGAAAGTGTAAATACAGTCCACATTATCCTCACAATACTACAAATGATTTGATGTTATAATTTCAGATCTCCTTGGCAGAGCCATTAACATACCAGCAAACAAGGACCGGAAAGGTCAGAACTCTTGCGGATAAGAGTACGGAGTGATATACCATGTTTCGACGTACTGCCCTTCAATCAAAAGAATTGATACTGAATCGAAATCCAAATGCAACAATAGTATACTACTTTTAATGCACGGCGCAAACACCTCAAGAAGCTTACCTATACAGCAAAACCCATTGGCACCCTTTCACTATATTAGGAAGAGATGACATCAAGAATTCATGCAGGTCTGAGGAGATAAATACAGAGTCATCCATGAGATAAGGTAGATGCTTCTGTGGACTATGCTGGTCAGTTGCTTCTTCGAAAACCTCAGAACCACTGGTGCTCCCACCGGAAACATGGTCGTAATCACTTTCTCGATTATTTTCTGTTTCCTTATTCACACCTGTTGAACGACATTCTACATATCTATGTAGGGAATCATCTTGGGATTCAAAGTCTACATTACTAACAGAGAGTGATCGTTGATGCTTGCCTGATCTGGATCCACCAAAGCCAACTGACGGGATAACGTAGGAAAAATATGAAGACATTGATTTACCCCCTTTAGAATCAGGCCTGGCCTACACATTCAAAGACCTAATGTAAACAATCATGATACATAAGACAAATTAAATTAAAGAAGCTACCTTCTGCTTGGAAATTGTAAAAACAGGGCACTGACTATTCCCAGAAAAAAGAGGGGAAAAAAAACAAAATCAACCGAGCTCAATCATAACTCTGAGCATGCATGGTTGAGATGAACTTTTGGAACTGAACAAGGACACAAATAATTTGAAACAAATTACAAATGGAGCTAAACTTCTCCCCTTAGAAACCGCAAATATATAACTTTTGGGTTAAAACAATGCAAGAAATTGTCATAAAACTCAGTTCCTAAGTTTCCTGGCAGATTACTATCACAATAACAGCAATAAGTGAATGACCCAACTATGTTGTTTTGACAGTAATTAGCTTCAGATCACTCAGACAATGGCATTCCCTTGTTGCCCATGAGATCTCAAGTTCTCAGCTAGACAAAATCCAAACAGAACCATATTACACAAACAACCAAACTGAAAACCTACGTTATCTATGACACCCAGATCTCAAAATTCTTGAATAAGAAGGATCACACCAACATTGCCAGCAAAACCCATCAAGCTCAAACATCTAAGCTAATGAAATACACAGAGAAAAAGAACAAAAAAAAAGAGAAATAATTGGATCAGGGACGGTACAAAAATTACCTCAGGATGATGATGGTCCAGTGAGGGAGGAAGAGAAGAAGAGGATGATGAGTCGGGTGAATCAGCAAAGAGACGTGAGAGCCTCTCTGTAACCTTCTCTTTCAATGTGAACATTGTGATCAGCTGAAGTGAAGGAAGAAGGAGAGATGCAGACAGGTCTATGAATCTCAGGCCTTTCTTTCTCTCATATGTTTTTTTTTTTTGGGTTTTGGTTTTTAATGTTTTTGATTTCCAAACGATTTTAGCTTTTGATTTTTTGTGTGGAGGAGGAACAAAAGGACCGTTCGTCGGTGGCAGAGAAGCAATCAAACGGAGAAAAGGAAAGGTTTAGGTCATTGGGGGCAACGTCAATGTGATTTGGATTTTACTCTTCTACACATAACGCATCCTATGTGATTGGTATCTATGTTTGGAATATACATTTATTGTCTATGCTTGCTTCCCAACTTTCTTGGTCTAAAAGACTTTTGGTGCTATGTACCATAAAATTAGAAGACAAACTTTGTTGCCAATAGTGCAAGTTTCACAACATTTGTTGCTAATACTTATTCAGTTTTCAAATAAAATAAATCTCCTAGGAAAACCGATTCACTTTTACTGTTTAGGCTTAAAAGAATTAAAATAACGTCAACATCGTCGTTATGTAGGTTGCGGTCTCCTAATTTGATTATTGACACACATCATGACTCGATCTCGGCTAACTAGTTCTTTAGAAAATGTGTTATTTTATTGACAGGTGCAATTTAATTATTTTATAACGGAAAACAATCTACTTCTGAGAACATTTTACCCAAATTAGAAAAAAAATATCATGATGAATTGGTTAAAATTCTAAATGTCATTAAGCATAATCCTTTAGCTCATAATTTCTATTAGAGAATTTTTACTGAACTCAAAATCTAGGGCATTTGGTTTTGTTTCATGCCATATTGTAGCATTTTGAACTTTACAAATCATACATATGTGAGTTAGGCCAATTGTGCCCTGTTTTATATATATAAAATACAAGCGATAATCTAAACTATAAGGGAGTGGGAAATTTCTTACACAAACACTACCAATTGCCCAAATTAGAGATGCTGCTTATGATTTGGAAGATGTTATTGAAACTTATGGCTTGAAAGTGGTTTCCAAGAAGAAAAGACGTGTGAAGAATGTTCTCAAAAGATTTGCTTGCATCTTCAAGGAAGGGGTCAAGCTTCACAGGATTGGGAAAGAAATTTCTGAGTTGAGGTCGAGTTTGCAGAAGTATAACATAAAGGAAATTAACCCTTGTAATTGGAGAACCACTCGACTACCAACCACCACCGACAATGTCAAGGTAATTTTTTTCTTTTTATTTTTTATTTTTAAAAAAATGGGTGCATTTTTAAGCGAAATGGGTGGTTTTGTTTATGTTTATTACTTATAAAATGAAGCGCCGAGGGCATAGCATAGCAGAATATGGGCTCCCCTGTTTAGCTATGTTTTCTTTGTCCATTTTTATTGCTTTTTGCTTGTGCTTGTGGCAGGTCAGGACTGGTAAACGAAGGCCTTTCCATTTATATCTCTTTATCAACTGATTTTGGAATTAAACCAGCAGTGGAGATCTGTGCTTGTGTGGTGGATCTGTTAGGCTGATCAGGAGAGACCTCGATCGAGCATTAAATTTCATCAAAACGATGCCTGTAGAACCTGGTCCAAGTGTTTGTGGGTCTTTAGTTACTTACTGCTTCTGTGTTGCATGGGAATCATGACATGCAAGATCTAGCTTACAGGTTCCTTATTCAACTAGAACCCAAAAACCCTTCAAATTATATTTCGCTATCGAACTTCTATGCCTCTTCTAGGAGGTGGGACGTTGTAGCTAAAATGAGAACAATGATGAAAGAGGTTTGAAGAAGGCACCTGGGTGCAGCTGGATAAGCATTAATTCCAAGACTCATTGTTTCTATGTTGCTGATAAATCACATCCTTATTCTAATTCGATCTATCAGATGCTTGACTACCTTATCTTAGTGATGAAGGGTTTTGAACATCCAGCATAGATCCTTTTTATATTGGGTTGATGATACTACCATTTAGTTATATAATGTAAATATTTGTTAGTTGCTTACACAATTTTGTAAATATTTGTTAGTTGCTTACACAACACTCTTATTGACTGTATTGTGGAGGACATTAATGCATTGCTTAAAAGATTTAAGAAGCACGGATACGCTAGTTGAGGTGCCTATCCCGTGTCCGATACGCGATGGATACGTATCCGAGTAAACGACAAAAAGATACGCGTATCTGACATTACAGATACGAGTATCCGATGTTTAGGATACGCGTATCAGAAAACGTCTCCCCTTCTTCTTCTATATAAATAAGAAGCCCAGATCTTCCTTCTTCTTCTTCATCCAGCGGTGCCCCCACTCATCAATTCTTCTTCTTCATCCTTAAGAAGCCCAGATCTTCCTTTTTCTTCTTCATTCTTCATTGTCGGCGCCGTCAGGTTCTGTTCTCTATTTTCATTTTGTTTTCTCACGCGTGCTTCTCTGTTCTGATGGCTGGTCTTATGCTTTTGACAAAAGGATTTTGTTTGTTTAATACTCACAGTTTCACCCACACCCCACGTGATGGCTGGTCTTATCGTTTTGACAAAAGGATTTTGTTTTGTTTGTCTTATTAAAAGTAATAATATTATAACCAAGACACAAACAACAATACCTCTATCTATCTCCTCTCTCACTCTTAAATTATACAACTTGCATTGGATAATTGAGGGAAGGTGGTCAGAAAGAAAACGCCAAAATTTACTACTTTTTGTTGGGTGGAATTGGACCTCATATCATACATAGAAATTGCAAGTGGTGAATAGAATTGACGACTCAAACTCAAAGTTGGAATAAAATAAATACTTGTTAAAGAGAAAGTGATTAAATTATACAACTTGCACCAATTATGGAAGAATAATTTATTTGAAGATTCCTGAAGTTGTCTGGTGTGTGCGATACAACTGGTTGCACAAATATATATAATTGATGAGGAAGGTGGTCAGCAAACGCCAATGTTGACTATTATTACTATTTTTTTAATTTTTAGAGATGTTGGGACGAAGAGAGAGTAAGTAATATCCACTAAGATCTGGAGGTTTAGTTGTTGTTTTCGTTTTGGCAAAGAAAGAGTAAAGTAGTAGAGAGAATGGCTGAGGCAGTTGTTTCCTTTGTGCTCGAAAGTGTTAGAGACTTCACCATTCAGGAAGCCAAGTTCTTGACTGGAGTCAGCCATCAAGTTGAGGTTGCACAAAATGAGCTGCAATTGATGCAGGGCTTCCTAAAAGATGCAGATGCAAGACAAGGACAAGATGAAACAGTTCGTATTTGGGTTGCCAAGATTAGAGATGCTGCTTATGATTTAGAGGATGTCATCCAAACTTACGGCTTGAAAGTGGTTTCCAAGGAGAAAAGAGGCCTCAAGAATGTTCTCAAAAGATTTGCCTGCATCTTCAAGGAAGGGGTTCATCTTCACCAGATTGGGGCAGAAATTGAGAATATCACTGCCAAAATTTCGGCGTTAAGATCGAGTTTGCAGAGTTATAACATAAAGGAAATAAGGGATAGGGACAGTGGTGGTGGTGGTGAATCTTCCTTGCAATTGCATGAGAGGCTAAGGAGAAGTTATTCTCATGTTGTTGAACGTGATGTTGTTGGGTTAGAGTCCAACGTTAAAGAATTGGTTATGCATTTGGTGAAAGATGAAAACCGTCATCAAGTTGTATCTGTTTCGGGTATGGGCGGTTTAGGGAAGACCACCCTTGCAAAAAAGGTTTATCATCACAAAAAAGTAAGGCAGCATTTTCGTAGTTTTGCTTGGGTCTGTGTATCTCAACGTTTTCAAGTCAGAGATGTTTGGGAAGGAATTTTAATTCAACTCGATTCTGCTACCGAAGATCAAAGAAAAAAAATGAAGCACATGACAGATGATGAAATAGCAAAGAAGCTTTTCCATTTTTTGCAAGAAATGAGATGTTTGGTGATACTTGATGACATTTGGAAAATCAACGCATGGAATCTTTTAGAAATTGCATTTCCAAAAGTGGAAACAGAGAGCACAATGTTGCTTACTACACGCAATCAAGCAGTAGCTTCGGTCGCAAATAGAAATGCTTATCTCCACCAACCTCAGCCACTCAACGAGAAGGAGAGTTGGGAACTACTTGAGAAGAAAGCAATACCTGCAAGGGCTGAAATCAGTATTTTCTCACCCTTCATATTTTCTTTTCCAGGTCCTTAGTTATATAACAAGCCACATAGAAACCATTACATTATATTGGCGAACATGTAGCAATTTTGGCAATAAAAAAAGAACATGTAGGAATTTTAAGGTAGATAATTCAAAAAATTTGGCAATAATCAGGACAATGCTAGATAATTCAAAATTTTCTCCCAACCTTTTTTTCAATCCATACATTTTTTGTGTTGGCATGTATTGCAACTAATAATCAGGACAATGCTAGATAATTTTTAAATGTTCTCCATTTGGCATGATTTCTTTTCCAGCTCCGTAGTTATATAGCGAGCAACATAGAAGTTACAATTTTTGGATATTGTTGAACATGTAGGAATTTATTTATTTATTTATTTGGGGTCACTCATTGTTAGGTAGCAAGATGGATGGTAATTTATCTTATGCAATTGCAAATAATAATCAGGACAATGCTAGCTAATTCAAAATTTTCTCCCAACCTTCTCTTCAATCCAACAATATCCCATACGTTTTCTGTGTTGGTGCAGATTTAATTTTTAAATGTTTTCCATTTAGCATGTATTATAAAATCCAAACTTATAATAAAATAATATCAGTAAATTTCGGGATTTCACAATTTTAATTTTAAATCATTCGAGCAAGGAATATCCACTAAGACTTCTCATATACTACAAGTCTGTATTTGATTTTTTTTTTTCTTTCCTATTTTTCAGACTTGGGAATGTACACAAAGAAGAGAGACTTAGGAACAAAGATGCTTCAACATTGTAAAGGTTTGCCATTAGCCATCATTGTGCTTGCTGGAGTTCTAGGAAAAAAAAAACTATTAGAGAATGGGAGAGAGTGTATGAAAATGTTCATGAATACATAAGCAGAGGCATAGGTCATGAAGAAGAATACGAAGGTGTATCACGAGTGTTGGCATTGAGCTATGATGACCTACCGTATTACTTAAAACCATGTTTTTTATATTTAGGTCATTATCCTGAAGACACTGAGTTTTTGGTGAGCGAATTGACTAAGTTATGGGTGGCTGAAGGTCTTATCTTTTTAAGACAACAAAGACATGGTTTGGGGGAAACAATGGAGGATATAGCACGCGATTGGTTAAGTGAGTTGGTGGAAAGATGTTTGGTTCAAGTGGGAACAAGTGGTTCAATTGGGACAATTAAAACTTGCCGAATTCATGATCTTGTACGAGACATGTGTTTCTTAAAGGCAAATGAGGAAAGCTTTCTCCACATTAACAATTCTTCGCAAGAAAATGAGGGAGCTAATCCATTTACTTCTTCTACGGCAGCCAAGGCAGCAGAATTGGGGAAAATTCGAAGACTTGCAATTTACTTGGATAAGAAGGCAGATAAGTTGGTTTCTTCAAGAGATGAAACAAACGGGCACGTAAGGTCTCTATTATTCTTTGGCCTAGAAGAATTGGTGCCAAAAAGTAAAAAAGTACTATCTCCGTTGAAGGATTTCAAAATGCTTAGAGTTTTGAAGGTTGAAAGTCTTTATAAAGTAGAAGTAGAGTTGCCAAGTGAAATTGGAAATATGGTACACTTAAGGTTTCTAAGTGTGAGGAGTAGCAATATAAGAACGTTTCCGCCATCCCTAGGTAATTTAGTATGCTTGCAAACTCTTGATTTTCGTGTTTGGACTGTCGCCATGGTCATCCCAAATGTGGTAATGAAGATGAAACAATTAAGACATTTATATTTACCCGTATCATACATAGCAAATGGTAACTTGCAGCTGTCTACTCTTGGCCATCTACAGACCTTATATAACCTTTCAATTGAGTATTGTGATTTGAAAGATGTTGGTAGATTAACCAATCTTAAGAAAATGAGAATAAGAGTGTCAAGCTCTTTGCAAAATCTGGAGGAAATCTTAAAATCTACCGGCAGCACGCTTAACCGTATCCGGTCTCTAATTGTGGACAACAACATGAATAGCGGTGAAGAGCAAGCTATGCAAATAGTATCAAGCTGTCGAGGTATATACAAATTGGCGTGGGCAGGGCCAATCGCAGAATTACCGAAAGAGCTCCACAACTATCCAAACCTCACCAAGTTACAATTGTGGAGATGTGGTCTCAAGGAGGACCAAATGGGAATACTAGAGAAGCTGCCAAACCTAACAACTCTCTGCCTTCGATATGAAGATTTCGATGAGAAAACAAAGATATTGGTTTTCTCCAAAGGAGGCTTTCCTTCTCTTGAAGTTCTTTATGTTGGTGGTATGGACCAAATAACAGAGCTGAGGGTAGAGGAAGGAGCCATGCCTCGTCTCTGTCGATTGGAAATTGAATATTGCTCGGGATTGACTACAGTTCCGGATGGGCTGAGATATCTTAATAATCTCAGGGAATTAACCATCAGAGGGATGCCTAGAGAACTCCACCGTCGGATTGAGGAAGATGGAGAGGATTTCTATAAAATTCAACATGTACCTTCCCTTGTAATTGGAGAACCACTCGATTAACCACCGATGCAATGATGGCAAGGTAATTTCTTTCTTTTAATTTTTTAATTTTTAAAGCGAAATGGGTGCATTTTAAAACGAAATGGGTGGTTTGGTTTGTGTTTATTAGTTATAAAATGAAGCACCGATCGAGAGAATATGGGCTCCCTTGTTTAGCTATGTTTTCCTTTTCCATTTTTATTGCTTTTTGCTTGTGCTTGTGACTTGTGTTGTGAGTGAGAAGCTTAATAATCTAAAAGCCAACATGTTAAATTTTCTTATTTTGAGACTGTTGATAATTCTATCGCATTCCAAATTCTAAATATCTTATAATAATATTTCAAGTTCCGAGTGAGAAGCTTAATCTAAAAGTATTTGAATCCAGAAATTTTGAAGTTAATGAAGGGATTGATTTTGACCATTTTGTTAATGACAGATTTCTTCTTCAAGGCTTGTAAAGAGATTGGATGTTTTTCGGAAGTTAACAGTTGAATATATGTTTATGGCATTTTGAGACATTTTTAATATATGTTTCATGTGAAGACACTCTTGACTAGCTTGAAATGTAGTATGATTTTACTATTATGTTGATATTAGAATGCAATTTTCACAAACAGACCGCTGAATATGTGTTATGGTAGCTGCAGGTAGGACCTGACATTGAGAAAGTGTCTCGAAGCTCTACAACATAGGGAGCATGTACGGTGTTGAACTTACAGGGAGAAGAAAGAAATGTTCTGTGAAAATCAAGAGGAGCAAAGATGTGGTCAAATAGTTCAAAGTTGGTTACACAACTGAAATGATTGTATTATATTAAAATTTCCTTGATGAAACCTTGTATTTGTATTCCTCTTTCGTGTGTGTTTTCAATTATGAATATTTTATCTTTGTGAGACATACATTTACGAAATTGATATACTGTAATGGACGATTTTATCTTCGTTTCTAAGTTTTTTAAGTGCCATTGGACCCCGAGATAGGACATGTAAAAGAACTCAGATATTTCCCAAGGCAGAGTGTTTTTAATGCTGCCCTCCCTGCTCTCTGAAACATATGCACCCCAAGGAATTAGCAACAAACTCAGACCTAAAGTTTAAAATACCTGCCCCTTGACTGAACCACTCTAATAAGCAAATTTAAATCTCTATGAGTTTTTTACCCTAAATAATCTTCAAAAGTGAAGATGCCACTCTTCCGTTGTGTACACGACACAAGTGGCGCTAGTTTTTCTTTAGCAAAATTTTTTACAGCTCCACAGTCAACTTATTTTTTCACAACTCTCTAATACTGAGGTAATTTATGATGCTGACCATATAGGATTTACATCGAGTAAGAGTTTCGGAACAAATATTTAAAGAAACAAAAGAAGTAAGTTCCATAACGTAAATTACTATTTTTTTTACCTGAGCTAAAAGAAGTAGAAAAATTACTAATTTTTAAATGGGCCGTTGTGGGCCCATTATAGTTAACAAACTCTCCTATGTCGGTTCAAGGCCCGTACAAATTGATTGGTGGTCCAACACCAACTCTACCACACGCTTCCAAAACCCTAAAGTCCAGAACCTAAACCCCTCTCTCTCTCTCTCTCTCTCTCTCTCTCTCTCTCTCTCACAGAAACACAGAGACACAGAAGAAAGAAAGGGAGAGATCAGAATGGCGGCACAGGGCAGACAGCGACAGTCACTGCGAAACGGCAGCGAGGAGCAGAGCCTGCTTTCCAGGGTATCGCAATCGGGGGTGGTGCAGCAGACGAAGCGAACGGCGAACGACGCATCGTTGGTGACGAAGAAGCTGATGAAGAGCACGGGCAAGGCGGCGTGGATCTTGGGAACGACGTTCCTCATCCTGGGAGTCCCACTGATCATCGCCATGGATCGCGAGCAGCAGTTCAACGAACTCGAATTGCAGCAGGCCAACATCCTAGGTTCCTCATTTGCAAAAGGCTAGGGCAAGGGCAAGAAAACAAAAAGAATATGCAACAAAATATAAACAATTTAGAAATGCATGAAATAAAATGATTATGCAAGAAAAAAATAAATATGGAAGAAAATATAAACAACTTACAAATGTAAGAAAAAAAAATGATTGCATTTTACAAATATTGGAAGGAGAAGAGTTTGTATGAGGATTTGGTGTGGAAAGTGAATAAAATTGTTGTGTATTTATAGGGAAAATATCCATAATTTTTTAGAATTTTTTTAAAACAAATTTGAATTTTTTTCGATTTTTTCGATTTTTTTTTTGCTCGCTGACATCAGCGTGACGTCACCACTGACGTCAGCGCCTTCGGGCTGAAGCCCAAGCAAGATCTGCCCTTGGGCTTGCCCGGGCTGGTGGGACCCAGGGCTTGCCCGGGCTGATTTTCCCGCGTTGGAGATCCATTTTGAGCTGGGGGGGCCTGTTGCCCTGGCAAAATGGGCTGCGGTGGACTTGCTCTTATAATAAGATAAAGGATATCAGTAAATTTCGGGATTTCACAATTTTAATTTTAAATCATTGGAGAAGGAATATCCACTAAGAATGCTCATACTACAAGTTCGTATTTTATATTTGATTTTTTTTTCTTTCCTATTTTTCAGACTTGGGAATGTACACAAAGAAGAGAGACTTAGAAACGAAGATGCTTCAACATTGTAAAGGTTTGCCATTAGCCATCATTGTGCTTGCCGGAGTTCTAGCCAGAAAAAACTCCATTAGAGAATGGAAGAGAGTGTCTAAGAATGTTCATGTATACATAAGCAGAGGCATCAAACATGAAGAAGAATCTGAAGGTGTATCACAAGTGTTAGCATTGAGTTTTTGGTGAGCGAATTGACTAAGTTATGGATGGCAGAAGGTCTTATCTCCTTGAGACAACAAAGAGATGATTTGGAGGAAACAATAGAGGATATAGCACATGATTACTTAAGTGAGTTGGTGGAAAGGTGTTTGGTTCAAGTAGGAAGAAGTGGTTCAACTGGGACAATTAAAGGTTGTCGAATCCATGATCTTGTAAGAGACATGTGTTTGTTAAAGGCAAAAGAGGAAAGCTTTTTCCAGATTAAATGTTCTTTGCAAGAAAATACTTCTTCTGTGGCAGCCGAGGCAACACAATTGAGGAAAATTCGAAGACTTGCAATTTACTTGGATGATGAGAACGCATATAGGTTGGTTTCTTCAAGAGATGAAACAAATGGGCATGTAAGGTCTCTATTATTCTTTGGCCCAAGAGAATGGATGCCAAAAAGTGAAAAAGTATTATTATCTCCGTTGACGAATTTCAAAGTGCTCAGAGTTTTGAAGGTTGAACGTCTTTGGGAAAGAGAAGTTGAGTTGCCAAGTGAAATTGGAAATATGGTACACTTAAGGTTTCTAAGTGTGAGGTTCAGCCAAATAAAAACGTTTCCGCGATCCCTAGGTAATTTAGTATGCTTGCAAACTCTTGATTTTCGTGTTTGGTATGGCGACATGGTCATCCCAAATGTGATAATGAAGATGAAACAATTAAGACATTTATATTTACCCAGGGAGTACAGAGCAAATGGTAAGCTGAAGCTGTCTACTCTTGGCCATCTACATACCTTAGATAGCCTTTCAACTGGGTATTGTGATTTGAAAGATGTTGGTAGATTAACCAATCTTAGAAAACTGAAAATAAGAGTGTCAAACTCTTTGCAAAATCTGGAAGAAATCTTAAAATCTACAGGCAGCACGCTTAACCGTATCCGGTCTCTAATTGTGTTTGTGGACAACAATAGCAGTGAAGGGCAAGCTATGCAAATAGTATCAAGTTGTCGGGGTATATACAAATTGAGGTTGGAAGGGCCAATCGCAGAATTACTGAAAGAGCTCCACAACTATCCAAACCTCACCAAGTTAGTATTGCTTAGGTGTGGTCTCAAAGAGGACCAAATGGGAATACTAGAGAAGCTGCCAAACCTAACAATTTTGATGCTTATATTCGAAGCTTTCGAGGAGAATACAAAGATATTGGTTTTCTCCAAAGGAGGCTTTCCTTCTCTTGAATTTCTTAATGTTCAACTCATGGACCAAATAACAGAGTGGAGAGTAGAGGAAGGAGCCATGCCTCGTCTCTGTCGATTGAGGACGCTTCCATATGGGCTAAGATATCTTACTAATCTCAGGGAATTAACCATCACAAGGATGCGTAGAGAACTCCACCGTCAGATTGATGAAGATGGAGAGGATTTCTATAAAATTCAACATGTATCTTCCCTTGTAATTGGAGAACCACTCGATTAACCACCGATGCAATGATGGCAAGGTAATTTCTTTCTTTTAATTTTTTAATTTTAAAGCAAAATGGGTGGTTTGGTTTGTGTTTATTAGTTATGAAATGAAGCAGCGAGAGAATATTAAAGTAGAAAAGCCAACAGAATACGGGCTCCCTTGTTTAGCTATGTTTTCTTTCTCCATTTTTATTGCTTTTTGCTTGTGCTTGTGACTTGTGTTGTGAGTGAGAAGCTTAATAATCTAAAAGCCAACCTGTTAAATTTCCTTATTTTGAGACCATTGATAATTCTATCGCATTCCAAATTCTAAATATCTTATAATAATATTTCAAGTTTCGAGTGAGAAGCTTAATCTAAAAGTATTTGAATCCAGAAATTTTGAAGTTAACGAAGGGATTGATTTTGACCATTTTGTTAATGATAGATTTCTTCTTCAAGGCTTGTTAAGAGATTGGAAGTTTTTTGGAAGTTAACAATTGAATATATGTTTATGGCATTTTGAGACATTTTTAATATATATTCATGTGAAGACACTCTTGACTAGCTTGAAATGAGTGTTTTTCTTTTCGAAATGTAGTACGATTTTACTACCATGTTCATATTGGAATGCAATTTTCACAAGCAAACTGCTGAATTTGTGTTATGGTAGCTGCAGGTAGGACCTGACATTGAGAAAGTATCCCGAAGCTCTGCAACAGAAGGAGCATGTGCGAAGCTGAACTTACAGAGAGAAGAAAGAAATGTTCTTTGAAAATCAAGAGGAGCAAAGATGTGGTCAAATAGTTCAAAGTTGGTTACAAGCTTTTGGGTCTAGTTATTACACAACTGAAATTATTGTATTATATTAAAATTTCCTTGATGAAACCTTGCATTTGTATTCCTCTTTCGTGTGTGTTTTCAATTATGAATATTTTATCTTTGTGAGACATACATTTACGAAATCGATATACTGTAATTGATGATTTTATCTTCATTTCTAAGTTTTTTAAGTGCCATTGGACCCCGAGATAGGACAACGTAAAAGAACTCAGATATTTCCCAAGGCAGAGTGTTTTTAATGCTGCCCTCCCTGCTCTCTGAAACATATGCACCCCAAGGAATTAGCAACAAACTCAGACCTAAAGTTTAAAATACCTGCCCCTTGACTGAACCACTCTAATAAGCAAATTTAAATATCTATTAGTTTTTTACCCTAAATAATCTTCAAAACCACAGTCCACTTATTTTTTTTCACAACTTTTTAATATTAGGTAATTTATGATGCTGACCACCTTATAGGATTTACATCGTGTAAGAGTTTCGGAACAAATATTTAAAGAACAAAAAGAAGTAAGTTCCATAACGTAAATTACTATTTTTTTTACCTGAGCTAAAAGAAGAAGAAAAAATACTAATTTTTAAATGGGCCGTTGTGGGCCCATTATAGTTAACAAACTCTCCTATGTCGGTTCAAGGCCCGTACAAATTGATTGGTGGTCCAACACCAACTCTACCACACGCTTCCAAAACCCTAAAGTCCAGAACCTAAACCCCTCTCTCTCTCTCTCTCTCTCTCTCACAGAAACACAGAGACACAGAAGAAAGAAAGGGAGAGATCAGAATGGCGGCACAGGGCAGACAGCGACAGTCACTGCGAAACGGCAGCGAGGAGCAGAGCCTGCTTTCCAGGGTATCGCAATCGGGGGTGGTGCAGCAGACGAAGCGAACGGCGAACGACGCATCGTTGGTGACGAAGAAGCTGATGAAGAGCACGGGCAAGGCGGCGTGGATCTTGGGAACGACGTTCCTCATCCTGGGAGTCCCACTGATCATCGCCATGGATCGCGAGCAGCAGTTCAACGAACTCGAATTGCAGCAGGCCAACATCCTAGGTTCCCCTTCCTCTCTCAAGTAAAAAAAAACCTAACAACAAGGGGCCCTCTTCGTCTTTTCCATTCCTCGCCTTGCCCTTTCCCCTCCTTCAATTTTCGTTTCTTTTTTGTTTCAGTGATGTTAATTTTTGTAACTGCAGAATTTGGGCTATTATGCAATTATGGCTAAAATATTATTTAGTGTGTATTTTTTATTGAAGTTTATTCAATTAGGGTCCAAGCAAATATTTGATTTTTCCTTAGGCTGTTAAAAATATCCAAAAGTTTTGGACCATGAATTGAATGCCTATGAATTTTGGGATTATTCCAAAAGTTGGGGCAAAATTGGCGAGGGTTAATACCAATGGCCTGAGCTTCATCTACAAAGATCAAGCCACAGTCACAGAGAGAGAATTAGTTTGGAAAACCAATCCTAAACTGGTCGCCCAAATAAATAAGAAACACAAGTCTAATTATAACAAACTACATTCTTCCTCATTTCAAATGTAAGGAATTTGGCATGACCCTACCATGTATGCTTAATCGCAGTTTTAAAGGGGACATACCATTTTTATATTTTTGCGAGAGAGAGAGAGTCTTGATATCGACCAAGAACGTGAATTTCCATTTTCTTTTATCTGGAGTAAGGATCGGTCATAGGTGTAAATCAACTATACAAGCTCTAATAACTCAAACTGAAATCAAACATTTAAACTGAGGCTTCTTTTGTCTGAGCAAAAACATATACTGAACCAATGGCCTGAGCTTCATCTGCAAAGATCAAGCCACAGAGTTAGAAGAATTAGTCTGGAGAACCAATAATGACTCATGAGGACTAATAAACATTTTCCTAGGGCAGTAATGTAGGGATACAATCTACCACTTCCCTTAAATTGGAAGAAATAACCGTGCCAATCCTAAACTGATAGACTGATCACCTAAACAAAAAGCAAACTGGATTATAATGATTTATATTATTCCTCATTCCAATGCACATAATTATAATGATGTTCCCGTTTTTATATATATATAAAAGGCTTATTATCACAAAAGGTCCCTAAGGTTTACGAAACTATCAGATTGCATCCTTAATGTTTTTTTGTGTCACTTATGGTCCTCAAGGTTAGTATGTGTGATCACAAATGGTCCCTGCCGTTAGGTTCCGTCAAAAACTCCGTTAGTTTGCTGACGTGGCATATATACATATCACAAAACATCCCTGAGGTTAACACATCTATCACAAATGGTCCCTGCAAATTTTTTTAATTTTTTAATTTAAAATTCATAAAATTTTGTTTTTGTTTTTTATAATATTTAAAAATATATATTGTATTTTAAATACATATGATACTATATTTTTGAAGATGAGGGCTCCACATATATGCCACACCAACAAACTAATGAAGTTTTTTTAAAAAATAATCTAAAATTCATAAAATTTAAAAATGAAAAAACCATTTATATAAAGATTTTAACCTTGAGGACCATTTATAAACCCTAAACCCTTGATTTTTTTCATTTTTAAATTTTATGAATTTTAAATTAATTTTTAAAAACTCCATTAGTTTGTTGATGTGACATATATGTGGAGCCCACATCTAAAATAATATAGTGTCATGTGTATTTAAAATACAATGTATATTTTAAAATAATTTAAAATTCATAAAAAAAAAAATAAGCTATAGTCTAAACTACAAGGGAGAGGGAAGTTTCTTACACAAACATTACCAAGGTGCAATGAGGATTCGAACATGAAACAACTAGTCTACAAGTCAATACCATTTTCCACTGGACCAGACCTCGTTGTGTGCCCGCTTCTTTGCACACATTCAGTCCTCCTTCTCGTAAATTAGAATAACTAGGTTTTCAGTTGTGTTTTTAAAAAAAAGACTATACACTATGAATAATAAAAACAAAACAAAACAAAACAAGTTGGGCCGTAGGCAAACAAGTTGAATTAGCGTATCCGGAATATGGCTACCCTAATTCCATGGGCCAAACACTAAAACCCTGACTTGTCAAAAGAACCATCAGAGAGGGTCCAGGTTTAGGGTTTTACTTCCCGGGGATGATGTGGCGCCGAGCTAGATCGAGCGCGGGTGTCAACATCCGGAAGCTCTCTACCGCAGTACGACGTCGTATCGAGGACGAGGGCGACTGGTCCTACGCCTCGGAATGGTGGGGCACAGAATCCGAAGGCCACACCGTCCTCCGATCCACATCCGACAAAGGCAACGGCGTCGTTTCAGTCGTCGCCTACCCTTCGTCAAAACCCAGTGAACTCCACTGGTCATCAACGGAGAGATGGCTACAGAAAAGGTACGAAGAGATACATGGATGCCATGAACAGAACGACAGATTCAGAGTGCTCGGATATCAATGGCGCGCTCTTCGCTTCAACGATGACACTCGCCAAAGCACCGTCAAGGTTTTGGCTGCGTATCGGCAATCGGAACCTGGCGTTTTCGCCGTTATGCAGCAGCCGCATTGCTTGGCTGTTCCATGTAAGCAAACCCTTTTGGCCTCTGATGATTTGGTTTGGGTTTCTGTCTCAATTTAATACCCAATTCAATTTCTGTCTAACATTTGGTTACAATTGCATCAAATTTGATTTGGGGTTTTCCTTAATGTAATACCCAATTCAATTTCTATTTAGCTTTTGGTTACAATTGAATCACATTTGCATCACATCGCTTGGTGATTGATTGAACTTCTCTATCTAGTATTTCAGTGTGTTTCAGTAATGATTGCATTACATTTGGTTACTTTCACTTTCAAATTGAATAATGTTTGGGTATGTTGTCGGGTTCTGTTTTTTCAGATCTTAAGAGTATGATATCAGCTGGGTTGGCTGCTATAGCATCTTGTGATTACAATCTCATGGATGCGGTGACTGGGAACAAAAGTATGCGTATTTTGTGCATTGGCCATGGAGGGGGAAGCTTGCCATTGTTTTTGGCTAGTAAGGTTCAAGGTAGGTTGCATTTCAAGTTGGGTTTTAATGGAGTTGGAAGTTGAAGGAATGAAGGATGTGCCATTTTTGTCTTTTATTTCTTTACCGCTGTTTCTTGGTTATTTCCAAATCCAATGTGTTGTCACACAACCTATCAGAAGTTTTGAACTGAATAGTTGGGTATTGAACCTAACCTAGAATGATCTGCTCCTTTTCAGGTGCTGTTGTTGACATAGTTGAAATTGACCCTCTTGTTATCTCGGCCTCAGTTAAAGCTATGGGGTTTCCAGCTTTCTCAGTTGTTACTCCATCGGGCAAGCGTGCTGTCTCAAAACCTGATACCATGGATGAGGTTCTGTGGAAAGGCATCCACGAGAGGCTGTTCCTCTATGAGTCCGATGCTGAGGAGTTCATTCTCAACAACACCAGCTTGTACGATATGATCTTCATTGATGCTTATGATGGCGAAGATATCTTCCCTCACAAGTTATGGGATCCACATTCACCATTTTTAAAAGCTCTCAGCAATCGGCTTCGCCCTGAACATGGCACGGTTGTGGTGAACCTTCATTCGGACACTGAGATCTTGAACCCCGATGGCTCTGCTCCATCCGTTCTGCAGCAAACCTTGCCAATGGGAAAGTACGTCTCGGGGGTTTGCCGGGCATACAAGGACGTGGTAGTGGGTAATGGAAGTAGTTGTGGAGGAAAAGATTCTGGTTTGGGGTTTACTGTTTCAGTTCCTTGGGTGTGCAATACGTCGCTGGTTGTCTGCAGAGGCTTTGGGGTTAAGGGTGGGCATGGCAACAGAGATGTGATCATGAACACCCTCATATCCAAATCCTTCGAACTGGAAAATGTTCTCAACTTGCCATTCTCCTGTTTGCAATATATAAAGAGAGGTTTTATAGTTGTTGATTAATTTTATAACAAGTTTATAGATCTGGCCAAGTTTCTTCACAGTTTGACCGAGGTTCTTGTGTTTGTCTTAGTCTCTTGGTTCAATGGCCATTTCCCATTAAGATTTTCCTGTGGATCAAATTGATGATGTTTTATTTTGGGGTTAACCAATTTTAGCACAATTGATGACAAAAGCTAATATCACAACACGTGCGATCATTGACTTAAGTTGATCGAGTCCCATGTAGACAGCGGGTGGCGAAACATCTTGGTTCTCCTTTTCTGTAGATAAAATACAATGACCAATAAATCCTCAGGAAGAAACAAGAAAATCCATTTCAGAATCATTTTATTTTCTACTTTCTATTAACATAATCCAAAAGAATAACCCAAACGACAAAGCAAACTAAATAAAATGAACACAAACCCATTTCCTTTTTCCTCTTCTTCTCCTCTTCTGTTCAACTATATTAAACAATCTACCATATATCTCCACAAGTACAACTACCATTAACAAATCTATGGTATCTGTTTACATCTCTCACAATGATCTCCCTCTCCAATACTCTGCAGATATACTTGAATGCCTCATGGCAATCCCGGCATATCCTCAAATTCTTCACAATCCTTATTGACTTGCCTGGTGGTGCCGCGCCACTCACCACTGCAAATGCTACTGCCAACTTCTCACTGTGATACCAAAGGGCTTCCTTTTTCTCCCATTCCCCAACTTCATGCAATATCTCATCCCAAACCGGCACATATCCTAATTTTCCTATCTCCTCCATCAACTCTACCAATTTAGCATAGATCTCATTCATTCTTTCATGCCTTCTGTCCCGGGCGAAAAAGACATGAACTTTCCCCCGTACCTCGATCCAACTCCTTCCACCGTCCTTCTGTACCCTCCTATCTTTCATCATCTTCCTCACTTCTGCAACTTCATCCCACCTTCCAGCGTTTGATAACACATTTGCAGCAATTACATAAGCAGAGTCATCATGTGGGTCAATTTCCAATAACCGTTTAGCCATGGAGCTAGCGAAATCAGGTGCTTTATGATACGCTGAACTTGATAGCAATGATCGCCACACTGCAGCGTCTGGTATCAACGGCATTGTCAGTGCAGCCCTTTCAGCCTCTTCCAATTGACCAGCTCTTCCCATTGCACCAACCAAACACGTATAATGCTCGATCGCTGGTTCCAACCCATAATCTACCTTCATCCGGGTCAGCCACCAATCAGTCTCAGAAACCAAACCTGCATTGCAAAATGACGTTAAAATTGCCAAAAAACTATATTCATCCGGCACAAGACCCCGAGCTTCCATTGCATTGAAAATCTCAAGCATCGATTTCGTATCCCCCTGTTGTGCATATCCAGCCAGCATCACATTCCACCCCACAATGTTCATGCTTGACAAGTTCTCATCAAAAACCTGTCTAGCATCAGACACAAGCCCAGCTTTCCCATACGAATCAACCAAAGCCGTCCCCACAATAACATTTCCATCAAGTCCCGTAACTATAGCATGAGAATGTATGATCCTACATTGCTCCGACACAGCAAGCTCCCTTGCAGCACGAAGTGCGCCGGAAACACTATACATAGTAGACCCAATATCAGAACATTTCATGTCAGCAAAAGTGGACAACGCCTCAACGGGTCTCGAGTTCTGCGCCAACCCAACAATCACCGCGGCATAACAAACCTCGTCTTTGTGGGGAATTTCATCGAGCAACTTGCGGGCTTCAATGGGTAAGCGACATTTGGAGTAGAAATGAATGAGGGCAGACCCGGAAAAGGGCTGCGCCGAGACGCCGAGCTTGAGAGATAGGGAGTGGAGGGCAAGGCCGAAGGAGAGAGAAGGGAGAGAAGCGCAGGTTTTGAAGAGGGAAGCGAAGGTGCGCTGGTTGGGGAAAGTGGGGTGGCGGAGCATGGAAACAAAGTGTTGGAGGGCGAAGAGGGTGTTGCAGTGGGCCGAGATCACGGCCGTCCATGAGACGACATTGGGAGAAGAGATTTGGTGAAAGAGGCGGAGAGAGTAGGAGAGGAGATTGGACTTGGAGTAGAGAGTGATGAGGTTATTGCGGAGGGAACGGTCGATGTTGGCGGCGGTGATGGCTCGGGCGTGGAGGATGCGAGGGTCGGCGTTGGGTGGATGCGGTGGAGGAGGGGGTGGTTGTATTGAGACTTGGTTCATTTTGGAGAGGAGGAGCTTGTTGGACACTCGAAGACTTAGAGTTTGAATGGGGTTTTTGGAAGGGTTTAGCTGTGCATGCTGAATGCACGTGAGTTCTCTTATATTTTCATGTATTTATTTAAGAAAAAAAGTCACTTGCTAACACTATTGAAAGAAACTCTCATGCAAAGTTGCAACTATCTCGGCAAATAACACAATGACACATGAAAAAATTAGCCCATGTGTCATTGTGTTACTGGCCAAGAATAGCAAAATTATAAGAAAGTTTTTTTTTGTGGAGAAGGGTCTTGGCAAACTCAGGTTAGAATCCTTATGGCACCGGTGAGAAAAACTCTATCTCTCCCATATAACTTGTATTTTAAAAAGAAGTCACTTTTGGTTCCGTTAATTTGTTGATTTTTTTTACTTTAGTTCTTGTAGTTTTAGTTTTGATAATTTAACCCTTGTGATTTAATTCTATCACAATTCAATTCAAGTACATATAATTTCCATCTAATTCTATCCAAAATTTCATCCAAAATACCCTCCATGACTTAGGGATGAACCGTAAAATTACGAAAATTGAAACTACAAGAATGAAAAGAATGAAAGGGGAAAAAAGATCCGGTAAACGTGACTTTTTGACTTTGTATGATCTATTTTTTATGAGCTAATTTTGTTGTAAATTATGTGGCTGCCCACAAAATCTCCAAAATTCGGAGACTTGCGGCAAGACTTCATATATGCCTGATGCACTGGTAGTCGACTGCGTTGTTTTATTTTTTCAGCACAACTTGCAGGCCGGCATGGTCAACATTTTTGCATCTTCCCCAAAATTGCAGAGGGGAATGCTAGATGGGTTAGTAAATTGCCAAAGCTGCCACAAACAGAGCTGCTTAGTCTTCAACGGATGCTTCTACCCTCCACCACTCTTCCTCCTCCTCCAAAGAAATATGACGTTTTCCTGAGCTTCAGAGGTGAGGACACCCGCACAAATTTTACAGACCATTTATACACAGCTTTGGACCAAAAAGGGATCTTCATTTTCAGAGACGACGAAGAGCTTTGAGAGGGGAAAAATCATTGGACCAAAACTCTTGAATGAAAGCCATTGAAGAATCAAAATTTTCGGTCGTGGTTCTCTCGAAAAACTATGCTTCTTCCTCATGGTGTTTGGATGAAGTTGCCCAGATTGTTGAATGCATGAACGGGGTTATTAATGGACAAATTGCAGTTATGGATCTGGCTCCATCCGATTGACAACCTTTTTTCGGGATGTTGGAATTCTGATTTAACAGATTCATCCGGGTCAGCCAGCCACCAATCAGTCTCAAAAACCATACCTGCATTGCAAAATGACGTTAAAATTGCCAAAAAGCTATATTCATCCGGCACAAGACCTCGAGCTTCCATTGCATTGCAAATCTCAAGAATCGATTTCTTTAGTCTTTTTTTTTTTTTTTTTTTTTTTTTTT